AAAAAAGAGAAAATAGCAGATTGCCACAGTTGCTATGGTAAGATTGGTCAGTAACATTTTTAAGGAGGAGCTTAGCAAAGGGTCAATTAAAATGTTTTCTGATTATTATTACTAAATATATGAATCATTCGTGTCTTTTATCTGTTGCTGCTTTTTTTTTTAAAAGAAGGCTCATTTTGTACTGGAGACTTTTGTTTCTGCACACATGGAAAGAATGAGCAGGACATTGTAAAGGAGCCCTCAAGCAGATTTCATAACCATAAATAATGCACTCACAGGCAAACAGTGCACCCAGTCAAACATGTTTCAGAATTTGACCTAAAAACAGAAAACGTGCATCACACTTTTTACATCCTTTCTCACGCCATTACACACATCCATTCACATGCTGAATTACATCCTCAGCTCCAGTCACAGACACGTGCTTGCATGCCATAATTGGAACACACACATAAAGCTGTGCCCCAGGACTGCTGGCGGGTGTGTTGCTCTTTGAGTTAGTGTTCACGTTCACGACGCCCGTGGGTTATGAGTGGGAAGAGACTGACAGCTGCTGTTTGTTACACAGCTACAAAGGACACAAAACTGTGTGTAATTGCTAGTGATGCCACCACAACCATGTGTAACCTGCTTCATACTGTTGTGAAACCAATTTTAAAAATGCTTAAGAAGTTAATTACCATATGCATGCTTTCCGCAGCTTTTGGCCAATTCTTGAAATCATTTTACTGTGTTTTTGATCAAATAAATGCAGCCTTGGTGAGCAAAAGAGACTTCTTTCAGAAACAAAAATCTTACCAACATCAAACTTTTGAACGGTATATATTGAAATTAAAAAATAAATGAGATTTTGGAAGTAGACAGGTGTTTTACAGACTCTGTTTTGATGTGAAAGCAAGTGCCACCTCATCTATAAATTCAATTTATCTGCACAGCGGGTGTTTGTGTAAGAGAATTCAGTGAGAAGGCCACAGCTCCTCTAAACTCAGACTGTCATATTGTTTTGAAAGAGCACTATATTTTATGCAAGGTCATAACTGTCGTCATGACAGGCCATTATTTAAATTAAAAAAAATCAAGCTTACATTTTTCACTTATAATGGCTATAAAGGTCTCAGCATGATGTATGTAAGTGCTTCTCCTGAGTCATAGAAAAGTGCATTCAAATATGTAGTCAGGATTGCAATTATTTTTGAAATATGGAACAAAATTGTTTTAAGTCTAGGTTTTAGGTAAGAGAATTGTGGCTTATGGTTGGTTGCCATGTATTTAAAAATTAAAATAATGGTTTATACAATAATTGTGAGACCTACTGTTGGCTCTTCTCTGGTTTGACTGAAGCCAATGGAAAGCTCAAGCTGTGCTGTGTCCAGTAAGCTGCCTTTCCTATTGTTAGCTTATAGAAATGACTGCAAGCCTTCCTATTGTGCAATGAAGCAAGCAGCCAATGGAAAAGAAAAGCATGTTGAATGTGAACCATAGACAGGGCTTTTCTGCTCTGTGTAAATTTGCCTGCATACTTTATATTTAAATGCTGAAATTTAAGGCTCCATTCATATGTTTCTTATGATCTTTCAGGAACATAAAAAGAAGACACTCTGAATTGGTTGCTCTAATAGAGATGATGAATATTGCAGGTTTTCTCTTTCTACTAACAAGATTTATTAAAATATAAAAGCTGAAAAAAGGCTGCTGTGTGTCATTTCTTTGCACTAAAACAGCATTACAATTGGCTTTCAACATTTTATTAGTGACTGCAATGATGGTTTCTGCAAGTTCTATTTGAGAAATACTATTGCTTATTGCAATAAATGTGTTTAGGATATACCCCTTGAGATTGAACATGTTGTTATTGTTTAGTATTGAGAACATTTTTAAAATTATATTTGGCACCAACTAGGGCTGTGCGATATTGATTAACAAAATTATCACGATTTCTTGATTATTTTTTTTCCCCGATTTTAATCACGATTTTGACACAAACAGACATGCTTTACAGTTTTAGTGTATTCTGTGTGAATTTGAAACATATTTCCAAAGGAAAACAATTAGAGCTTTATCGCGCAGCACTAAATCTGGTAAAACTTTACATATATCTCTTTGTATTGTTGTAAAATAAATTCATGAAAAACAAGAAAACAAAAATCAAAAAGATAAATTATTTTATATATAGTCTACTGTAAAGAGATATTAAGTATAGCACAGATGTTTAATGAGGCAACAACATATGATAGATAGGGCAGAACAAAAAGAGACTATTAATAATCTTTGATTAAGCAAAAGTATTATCATAAGCGCTCATGCGCATCCCGAGCGCAGAATGATGCGCTTGGAGCAACACAGAGTTACAGCGCGCATATTTCGTCGAGTCCGCATTGAAAGGTTCAAAGCACAAAGGAAATACATATTGATGCAGTGTATTATACAGTATCTATCTATGCAATAGTTGAGCCTTTTCTTTTAACATTTTTTAATTTCAGTTACTGTGCACGTGAAGAAGTACTCAGTGTTAAGGTCTAACAGACACACGGTAGAAACGAACAGTCCAGCAAGATCATTTATGCGACACCATAGAGCTTTATCTACAGATCAATTATAATAATATTAACATTGAATGATAAATCTAGACTTAAGAGAATTTCATCGTTGACTGTCGTAACCGAACGCGACGCGCTGTTTGAACAACACTGAATGGAGAATGACTGACAGCTGGAGCGGAGAAAACTACTTAGAAACCAATTAGGTAATGATATTCCCTTACCTTCACAGAGAAAGAAACTGGTGAGGCAAGTCCCTTTCCTAATATTTCCATTCACTCGCGCTCCCTTCTGGCACGCGCACCTGTTCGCAGTTCACCCGCCGGGTCTGTTCTGTTCTCGCGCTCAATTTAGGCGCGCTGCATTCTGATTGGTTCAGATAGCATATTGGGAGGTTGGAGCCAGCAACACGGAAAAAATCGCGCATGCTCAAATCGCGATTGTATTACGATTTCGATTAATCGCACAGCCCTAGCACCAACAATGGTGCAGAAATGAAACTGCAGCTTTAAAAAATTAAGAAAATGGGGTGTTGAACATGCCAGAATGTGATTTTTTTTTCTGTTATAAAAAAATTAATGATGAAATAAGCATATTGAAACATGTCTAAAACAATCACCATCATTTATTTACAATATTAAACTGTAATGCAAAATTACTTATAGCAAGTGGTCATTTATTCAATAAAGAAAATAAACATTAACTATTTTGAAAGCTAAAATGAATCATACAGATATTTATATATTTTTATATTAATGTGTACAGCCAGCAAATGTTATGTATCTTGAAGCAATGTGATTTAATTCGCCAAAGACATCATTTTTTTCCATATTAAAATCAATATTGACTGCATAGAAAAGAGGATAAAGTGGTTGACCTTTGCAGAGGGTCTATAAAACTAATACACATGTAAAATACACACGCTGTCTCCCTTTAAAAATCAAAGAGAAGCAATGAGATCCTTTCATTGCTATTATGCTGTTGTTTTATATTTTGGCAGCTTCGCTCAATCCATCAATGCTAGATCATAAATACTACAATGAAAGCACAAAACAACAACAACAACAACAACGGAAGGCAACAACGGATTTCGGAGGGGTGCGTGTCCATTCAGGTTCAAGTGAGTCTCAAAGCCATTAGATAAAGCCAAAAAATACTGATGAATCCAATGTGACGACATGCTGTAGGGAAGCTGGGATTTCACAGTATCGGTTCTGTCTCCATCTTGTGCTTCTGGTTGCATCACATCAGCACGGAAAGCAAGCTGTTTGTTTATCCAGTATCAGTGGAGTTGGATGAGAAATTACCACAATGCCCCATTATATACAAGAATTTAGGCATTCCCTTGAGAAAGCCAGACATCTACGGTAACCAAAACAAAAAAGCCTGAGAACAACAACGACCACAACAAAAAAGAAAAAACGCTGAGCCATATAACACCTACTCTATGAGCAAGCACTTAGTCAATACAGTCAGAACAGAAAAAGACAAGGCATATTATGGAGAGATTTGAGACACCCCAAACCGCTGCTCACTTCTCATATCATTGACCTGATCAAAGTTTTTCCTCTACACATAAAAGATCAAAAAAGTAAAGCGTGAGAGAGAAATAGGCTCTATTTTCATCAGGAGGCATGGCATACTCTCTTATTCAAGCAAAAAACATGAATTCTTCACCGTATGAAAGCGAAGAGGCAGAGAGAGAAAGATACAAGCAAAAAAAACAACAACTGTGTGTTCAGTTGGAGAGATGGAAAGGAATTGGTCTTAAATCAGTCCCACCTCAACTCCCTCCTCTCTTCTGACAAAGTCAAAAACCGAAAACTAATTTGCTCATGAATCCAAAACAAAGCTTTTTTCTTTTTTTTTTTTTTTGGTGATACAATATTTTCATTGCGTTTTTTTCTCTCTCTTGGTTTTCTTTTCTTTTAAATCTAACAGAACGGTAAAACCCAGACATTGCTCGTTTACATAGTGCCATGTATCTTTGGCTCAGCCGTGACCATGCGAGAGGCTGTAGCATGTTGCCCGAAGCAATATCCATTACTGAATCCTAACCGGGGCAAGAACGCAAGCACAGCGTTTGCTTATTTAAAAAGGAAGAGGAAGAATGTCAGAAGTAAAAGCACACAAACAGGAAAGAGTCAACAGTGCTGCGATTCATGTTGCTGTACAAACCCTTTAAAGCTCTAAACACAAAGCACATGTAAAATAATACTACTAATAACAAGTCAAAAGAAATGATGGGTATATCATAGCCAGAGTGCATCCAATCATGCTCCACCTCGCTGAAATCCTCTCATCTGAATCCAAGTTTATGGAAGACACTGATTTTAACTCCAAAGTCTTCCTTTCTGTGAAAGTGAGTGCATGTGTATGTGTGTGTGTGGGGGGGCAGCTACGCAGTGGTCTCGCCATCGCTGTCATTCAGGTAGCTGCTGCGTTTGTAGCGGGAGCGGTAGGTGCTTCGGCCCGCACTCCCTTCCTCTTTTTCTTCTTCCTCTTCCTCGTCAGATCTGTCAAGGCAGAAGCGTCTGCGACTGGAGGGGGGGCTGGAGGGGGGAGATAAAGAAGCTTTGATTAGGATCAGCTGGTGGATAGAGGGACCGAAGAGGATAATCTCTGAAGGAATGTTGGGCTATCAAACTTTAGAATGTGGGGTAACAATATTTAACAGGCCAGTATAATCTTTGCTGATGCGTTAGGGGTGCAATACACACAAATCACATCCAAATCACACCAGGTGTAGTGCCATGAAACCTTATCGGATCATTGTTAGTGAAGTTGTACAAGCAAACGACAGTTTCATAGGTAACTAAATTACCATTAGATAAATACTAAAGAGAAAATAAAAATACTAAGAAATGATTATGATGGTAACGGTAAGTTACTGTAAGGATGCATCAATATTCAAATAACGATAATATATTGCATAAAAATATAATCAATCCTTATAAATGCTAAAAGTTAACAGTGTTAAATTAATAATAGACTTTAAGTGAGCTTTAGATTACAGCAAATGTGATCTAAAAGTAAAATTGGGGAAAACGAGTATTACATTTAAATATCCAATATTGACCAATAGCAGCACATTAAAATTATAATAATAATTCAAATTGGATAATAACCAATATAGTACCGATATATTATGAACCCTAGTATTGACAACAGGTGAGTGGGTACAGAAGTGTTTGCACAGTCAAGTCAGTACAGAGTTGAATTTAAATAAAAGCATCAAACAGTCTATTAAAACTCCACTTGGTCTAAAAATCCATGGTTCATTTTAAAACAACTTGTAATATTCTTCATGTCTACTCATAATCTTATCAGTGAATTAACATATAAATGAACTGCCCTCTAATTATACAAGAGCAAGGCAGAAAGATGTAGAGAAAGCATGAATACCTCACCCTCTTCAAAAAGTCAACGCTAACTTTTTGTGTCACCGAGTCTTATCTTCCCCATAATAATACAAACTTCAGGTTAATTGCTGCCGATTTTATGTTTAATTACGCCCAAGACCAGAGAAAGAATTTCAAACTGACTTTAGTTACACAGCTGTTATCTTGAGTTAATAAATCACAAAAATATTTCAGTGAACGATATAGAACAGTGTCTCTGAAAATGTATGTGAGTAACAAAGTAAAAGAACACAGTGTAAAGATAAACTGAAGGTAAAGTAATGGTCAAATGCAATGAAAGATATCAGACAGTACTGAGGTACGCGAGTATTAGTTTAACACCATGCATGTAGCATTCCTTCACCCCACACCAAGCATCACCTACTGCCATCTTTAGTCACTGTCAGGCCTGTACAGGTACTTCATCATAAGATTGTCTACTTTCTTCTTCCTCTTCTTGTCTTCTTTCTTAGACCGAGGTGGAGCTTCTTCAGAGGGGTCTTCAGGCTCTGGCTCGCCCTCAGAGCCCGAGGCCTGCCTGCCAGGGGCTTTCTTGACACTGCTGGAGCTTCTGTAAGAAATAGTGGACGCTCCTGAACTGGAGTCCGACTCTGTGCTAGACTCCGATTCCGAGGATGAGGAGGAAGACGAAGACTCTTTTCTGGACTTCTTCTTGGATTTCTTGCCCTTCTTCTTGGAGCTCTTCTTCTTGCGGTCGTCGTCAGAGCTGTCGGAGCTGTCTGATTCAGAGCTGTGGCTTTTCTTCTTCTTCTTCTTGCTCTTGCCCTTTTTGCTGCGGCTGCTGCGTGTGCTGAGGCTGCTGCTGGAACGCATGAAGTCCACGGCTGAAGCAGAGCGGCGCAGGCTAGAGGAGCGCCCACTGTCTCTGCCAGTCCTAGAGGTGCTGCTGACGCTCTTCTTTTCATCCTCCACCTCGCCCAGCTTATCTTTCTCCGCTTCAGAGTCTTCCAAGCTGGTGCGCTTGAACTTAATGGGTTTGAAGCTCAAAACTTCATTAATGGCAGCCTCCAGGTCAGGGTCAAGGTAGTTGCGGTGACTGACTGGCTTGACGTCCAAAACCTCAGGCGGGCTGGAGTCAGTGGTCCGGGCTTGCGGAGGCATGGAGAAGCTTCGGCCGGAGGTGGAGTAAGGGCTGTAAGCGCTGGAGCGAGCCTCGCTGAACGCTACGCTCCGGGCATCATCGTCCACGTCAAATTCACTGAGGCGACAGCTACGAGACAGTGACATCCGGGAGTCGGAACGGCTCACGCTGCCTGGGCTGCGGCGACTCAGGCTGGGGCTGACGGGTGAACTGTATTCACTCTGAGGCATGCTTCGACGCCGGCTCGCCGAACTCATACGACTCACGCTGGAAATAGCATCGTCATCTAGATCCATCGCAGTACGACAGGAGGAAACCCGGCTCGGGGCTACAGACGTCACAACGGACTCCTTATCAAAATCAGACCAGCGGCTGTCCATGCCCTTTCTTGCCCGACTGGCTGCCTCCGAGTAGGCCTGAGAGATGACAGAACCCCGATCGTCAATTTCATCTCCTGCCTTTCTCCAGGAGCTGACAGAGTAGGAGTCATCCTCAGCTTCTTGCTTGGCTTTGTTCTTGCGGAAAGAGGAGAGGTCCTGGGAATTGGATTGTTCTTTGAGAGTGTTGAGGAGCGAACTCTCGTCTCCCTTATTGGAGCGTTTCCTGTAGCTGAGGGAACTCATGACAGATACAGGCCTGCTGGGTTCTAATTCTTTACCTTTGCCATTGTCTTTCCATTCTTTACCCTCTTCCCACTCTTTTCCCTCCTTTCCGTCAACATTTACAGCATATCTAGATGGAGGGGCAGACAGGGTGTGCACAGTGTAGAAAGACAAACAGATGGAGGGAGGAGAGGAAAGAGATGGAAATGTGAGAATGAGAAAAAAACACTGATAAAAACTTAAACGATGACTGACACCCAAAAATAGAAATAAAAATAAAATAAAATGGAGGTATATCCAAGCAGACAGGGCAGAATATAGATGAAAGTTTCATGCGACAGCATAAAGGCACTTAAGACAGACTAAAGCTCCTGGGATTTAAAATCAATAGTTAATCCATCAGCTCAAGTATCTACATATAAATGTAGACATAAAGATCCTTTTAGGCGAAAATATTTCAGATAATTGCACAAAAACTGGTGCTGAAATGAACTATAATTCTCAAGCAAGATGATTTATATTAGGAAGAGTGCTTCTGACAGATAGGACTGACTGAAGTGATCAAAATGATTGAAATTATGAGGATACTCCAAAAATTATGTCGTCATTTACTCTCTTATTACCCTCATATTGTTGCAAACGAGTTTCTGTCTTGAACAAGTTGTTTCAAACTTGTATGAGTTTCTTTCTTCTGCTGAACACAAATGAAGATATTTTGAAGAACGATTGGAAGCAAATAGTTCTTTGGCACCACTGACTTCCATAGTACAAAAAAAAAACAAAATACTAAAGTCAAGGGTGCCGCTCAACTGTTTGGTTCCAATCATTCTTCAAAATATCTTCCTTTGTGTTCAACAGAAGAAAGAAACTCATACAAGTTTGAAACAACTTAAGGGTGAGTAAATGATGACAGAATTTTCATTTTTGGGTGGAGTATCCCTTTAAGGCTTTAAAAGCACAAGAACCTCAAGAGCCAAACTTAAATATTCTGGTAAAAAGAATAAACAGTAAAAATCTAAAGTGTCCACTGGTGGAAAGACCCATTCATTTTCAGCAGAAAGGCGCAGGTAGGCATGCCAACTGGCCGGTGGGCACATCCATTAATCTGTCTGTGAAGCTGTTCCACCTCTGTTATCAAACTGCTGACAATAGAGAGAATAAGCTAGACAATACCAACAGAAAATACCCTTAGCGCTAGCTAATTAGCTTTTCCAAATACATTTTTCTTGCTTGCTGCATTAGATTTTGTTAAACCATTTTGTTGGATAACTGAGGGAAATGAGGTTGGAGTACTGACCTTGAACTCTTCAGACTACCATCATCTGACAGGTTCTTGGCAGAGCCCTTGTTTTTGGACAGCCATGACTTCACCCCGTCAACACGGTCCTCCACCTCAGAGTCGGTATCAGAGGCGCCCTCACTGTGCAAGAAGAACAGAGGGGATATCAACAAAATGAACAAGCCGAACCTGTACATAAATATTGTTAGTAGGAGGAACACAGGGTTTTATGGTGGAGACACAATGTACGGATGCATGCGCCAGATCCCTAGTAACCTGGAAAGGGCCTCTGTGTTAGTAAGTCAGACATATAGTCCAAAAACAATATCCTGCTGCAAGCTGGCTCTGTATAATGTGAGGCATCCAAAAGGTGTGAGGTCAGTACAACTCCAAGCCAAACCAGAAGAAAGGAGAGCATTGAAAAGAGAAAACCATTCATACTGTAGCTAGGCAGACAATAGCTCTTGTCCCAAAACCTAGGTGACATTTGCGATTTGAAGGCTTTCAAAAAAAGCAACTTAAAATGCCTAATATTAGCAAAAATCCTAAGGCAGCATTGTATCACACAATGCACTGTGACAAGCTCATAAATAGATCTGAACACTGAAAAGTACTTCATTTAATGCAATTAAACATTAATCGACTCATAATTCATTTGCTATTCTTTTTATGCTAATTAGATTATCACTGTTAGCTTAGCAACACGCTAACACCAAAATCTATTCAAATCAACCATGAGAAGAATATGTTGAATAAAGTTCCCAATGTAAAGGACACCAAAATCAGTCATTTTTTAAAATGGAAAATGGTTACAATACTGCCTTTGCCAGAACCAAACTCTTTCAGCTATCTTTTATTGTAAAAAAAATACTGTGATTTAGAGCTGAATAAAAACAGAATTGGTAATTACAGGTAGTGCTGAAGAATAGAAAATGCTTCAGGCTAATGTAGCCTTCAACTACCATGTTAAAGGATTGCATGAAGGAATGGGCCATTTTGGGACTATAATTAACTCGGCTTACCATGCTAGCAATGCCATGCATCTCTGGATACAAATGGGTTTGGTAGGGAAGTGTTTCGCTGTCAATAAGAACGAGTAAACACAGTCCGAACGTCCCTGGGAGCAGATGCATTAACACCTCACACAGAAAGCAGCGCTGTGAATCCCAGTCCTGTTTGCTCATTTCTCTGGACCAGATAAAACCATTGAATTTATGTTTGGCTGGATTTGCAAGTCAATGCTTCCCTGCCTCTTTAGATTAGTCTTATCCTTCACTTATCGCACAGCACACCACACTGAATAACTATGAATTGCCCTTCAAGGACCTAGAGAGCTAAAACACACCAAGTATGCAAAACCTTTAGAGAAGACCTAAGCGATGGCATGGCAGATTACAAACAACACCTTTTCCACAATTTTGTTTCAAATTAAATTTTAATAATCATTGTTATTTTCCTCCAGCGCTGCAGGAGTCAAATATCTCCCCCAAAAAATTATACAACATACAGTAGCTCATTATCCCAGGCGTAGATAGAAGATCAAAAAAGAAGCAGCAGCTGCTTTTCTCTGACATTAGGGTTCCGGTCTGCTTAGCTCTCCGTTTGTGGTATTATGCATATGAGATTATTATATATGCATGGACCCATGAGATAGCACAGATGTCACTAAACACTAACTGTACGCTCACAGTCAGGGTGCTGAAGAGGGTCTAAATCAGAAGATCTGATGATACACAACAGTGAATACACTCGGGACAAATGAATTCGCTGTTATACGAGTAGCGCTCTGACGACATGGGTAGGCAACTTAAGAGTGTCAGAGTGTGTATTTCTTCAAGAGCCCTTTTGGCTATTGTGTAAGCCCTAGTGCCCTGAAGGTAAACCGAGGTGAGAACGTTGTGTGAATAAGCCTTGAGCTCTGCTAGCCGGCCCATCGCTAAACAGTAGGACAGCAGGGTCTTTGTAATGAAGCGCTAATGCAAAATGTCACACACAATTTATGTCCTTGACCATATACCATTAGTTAAGCTGCACCTAAGCCCAGGGGAACAAACAAACAACACAGTGAGAGAGGAGAGACATTAATTGTCTGTGACAACATGCCTCCATTGGCTGTACATCTCTGTTACAGGCTATTACATTTATCATTAGCACCTACAGAACTCTCTCAACCCCTCTGTTTTCCTCCCTAGTGTCTGTCTCTCTACGCTGTTTGCTCTCTCTATATCCCCACTTGCTCTTCTTGACGAATTTGGAATTTATAAAGTGCAACTGTTTCTTAGTTATATCTCAGTTATAAAAATAAAAGAAAAAATGTATTTCTACAAGATTTTGTATTTCTACAAGATTTCAGTGCAATGGCTGTTAAGCTCCAAAATAACAACACTTGAAATATTTGACTTACTGCAAACAATTTGATTAATTAATCACTTTATGATACAAATGTTAAATCAACTGAGAGCTTTGTTTGTAATTCACAGTAATTCACTATAAAAAAAAAACTTTTGCTGATAATTTACTCACCCCCATGTCATCCAAGATCCCTTTCTTTCTTTCTTCAGTCGAAAAGAAATTAAGGTTTTTGATGCTCGTTCGTGACTCTCCTGTTCGAACTCGTTTATCAAAATGAACGAATCTTTTTAAGTGTCATTTGGTTCATTCAACGAACGAAATGAACGAATTGACTCTGAAAAAGATTCATTCATTTTGACGAACGCGCATCATAGAACAGAGCAAGGCGAGCATTTGGGCTCATACAACTTTTTTTTTTTTTTAAATGAGCGATCATTTCGCTTGATAAGACCCTTATTCATCATCTGGAATCGTTTAAAGCCCTTTAAACAGTTTGCAGTTTGTACTGAAACTGTCTTTTGGACCTTGAACCATTTGGTTACCAGTAAAGTGCATTATATGTCAATAAATCCTGAAATGTTTTCATCAAAAACCTTCATTTCTTTTCGAATGATGAAAGAAAGACATGGACATCTTGGATGACATGGAGGTGAGTAAATTATCAGCAAAAGTTTTTTTTTAAAAGTGACTCTACTACTCCTTTAATGTATATTCAAGTAATGTAAAAAAAATCTCTTTATGCCAAATTCCTCTTTGCACACAAGTCTGACCTCTATCTACACCAGGGTTATTATCGTTATCAAACTAATCATTAAAATTCTATTATCATAATTAAAACTATTAAAACATTTCTGTTAATTGAAACATAGCTGAAATAAAATAAATACAAGATGAAAACACTTTAACTAAATGAAAATGTCAAATGATAAAATAATAGATTAACCTAAAATAAAACACAATTTCAAATAATTCGTGATGTATTGTAAACGAAGTTTTAAAATTATGTCACTGAATAAAATATACAAGTAACGCTCATGAGAGGGAATATCCAACTCTTCTAAGCTCATTTTAAAATATCTGCTCTCCTCATTTGTCATTCGTTATGCTCTGTCTATTCTCTCCTTTGCTCTGGGAACATCAGAATAATAGGTTCTCTACTAAGGTTTGTATTTTGCTAACAATCCCCTTACAGCCAGTCTCATTTACAATAATACTCAATAGAATGATCCAACCAGAAGTGTCAACATCCCTGCGTGAACCCAAACAAACATTTCTAGAACAGCATATCCATCTAAACCTGATAAGTAATGCCCAGACTGTCCATTAGCTTTTAATACTTTTCACATGATGTAATAAGTGGTGCTTAGAGCTTAAGGGTTTTTAGAACTGGAAAACGCTTTGAGTGGCGTACACTGCGGACCATGGACTATCGACAGGGGAATGAAATGGCTCGACGCCAATGGCTGGTACTTTGTTGTAGGCTGTTGCCAGATGAGTTGGGGGGCTTTTTGTAGGACATTTGAGGGTTATTCATTATTTAGCCCTCATGGTTGAAAGATTGATGAGGAACACGCCTTTCTTTCCTGCCTTAAGAGGCTGCTAAGTCCCAAGAACAGAAGTGTGAATTATTCAAAAGAGCGAGAGAAAGGCAGGTAAAGGAAGGGTGAGAAGAGGGGAGGGCAGAGCAACCCCTCGCAGATGTTTGTACAAGGCCCTGCAGTCTCCAACAAGCCTGCATATAAAACCTTCTGGCTCTCGAGTTAGTCTTGGTCTGGACCCTGTGGACATGGAACTACACCTGACCTCCACTCAGAATGGTTCCTATCCAACGTCTCCAAAGGTTCAGTTTTACAAAGCAGGGGGAAATCGCCTCTGCGGAGGGTAAATATTTGGGAACCATACTTGGCTTGGAAAAAGCATGCAGTTTGTATTATGCATACATTATGAGACATCGTGCATAAAAAGGTGAAAAACAAATGCGTGATGTTAGTTGTCATGCCCGGAAGTGTGATGCAGTATCAACATGAGTCGAAATTGAGATTTACAGTACAAAACATTCCCTATTCTGTACATTTCTCAAAAATGACTGCATGCATACTGCATCATCTTCCTATGAGGGCAAAGGAGAATCAAAATATGTTAACTTCAGTTCAAACTTTAACTCCTTACAGCTTGTTCTTTCGTTTCTGATACTTAGTCACCATGTCTTGTAAACTGGAGGTAGGAGGGGAATGAAAAACAAACAGAAGAAATAAGTGAGTTTCAAGTGGAAACTTAATAAACATGAAAACAACAATGGCTGTAAAAAAAAAATCAAATAAACACAAGAAGTCATGGTCTTAAAAACACAGATTGTAATTGAATATTTATCATGTCTGGTGTAAACGTTTTCTAGCGCTACATGTTCCTCAAGATGTTTACCCAGAATGCTGACCTTCTGCTCTGCGTAGTCCATTATGTAAGTGTAAGCACGGCACTATTTACTGTTATTAGGATGACTGGAGTTCTTCCACGCACATAAGCGAGCAAATAAACTTGGCTCTGCGCAGTAAGGTCACTAATAGAAGCAGAGCGGCGTGGAATGAGGGTGAATGAAGATGACTTCCTCTGACAGATGAGACCAACTACATAAAAAAGGAGCTCCAAATTATGTGCGGCAGTTTTCAAGGCATAAATATTTAAGAGAGTGTGAATAAGAGATGACTGAGACTGAGACTGGCTCACTGATTGCCATCTCCAAAAGCTCTGTGAACAGCGCATTCATCCAGATGGTGTCTTCTCTCTCTTTCTATTTCTTTTTTACCTACTTACGCGCATGGAGAAGCTCTCCTGAGGTTTGCATTAAATAAAGAGTCCTCAGAGCAGCAAGTGTTACCTGTTGATGAGATCCTCATTGTCATCACTCTCCATCTCATCCTCGATAGCAGCCTGGAGATCTCCGATCCTCTTGAAGGCCAGCTTGAGGTCCGCCTGGAGACTCTGATTGGCTGCTTCCAGACTCTCAATATCCATTTCCTAATGAGACAGGATTAAATTAACAGCCTAACTAATGAGGTTCTCATTTCTGTCTTTTTCTATATTTAGATTACCTTTGCTACCGTCATCTGATGCTCACTTAATGTTAATGTTAAAAACAATATTCATTTAATATTTAACACTGATAATCTAATCTTCAGTGAATCTCAACTTAATATCCATACTTCATACTGTACATTATAATGTTAAAAATGCCTAAATGTTTTTTGAAGACAAAATAGTATAGAATTGCAATATGGACGTTATTAATATATTATTAAAATAATAAGCGGTTAGTCTGTATTAGACAGAATTTCAATATTACAGCATCCTTAGTATTTAGTGATATATTATTTATATATTTATTTTGTAATTGACTATAAAATACAATTCTGCATTCACCTACCATTGTGACAAAGAGCCCTCATAAAACTGATGTCAAAATGCACACCATTTTTTAGAATATCATTGTTTTCTGCAGTATTAAAATCTTAAGAGGTTTAATCAAACCAGTTAACTAGAAGGAAGCTTTATGTCCACATATAGTCGCAATTCAGCTTTCATCATACGCTTAAATGGATAGCTCACCCAAAAATGTAAAATCTGTTAGAATTTACTCACTCTAATGTGGTTCCAAACCTGTAAGACTTGCTTTCTTCTGTGGATTTTTTTAGGCTCCAATATTGTTTTGTTCCCAACGTTCTTCAAAATACTTTTTTTATAATTATTTTATGTTCCTTTCAGAAGAAAGGAAGTCAAACCGGTTTGGAATGACATGAAGGAGAGTAAATGATGACATAACTTGAATTTTTGGGTGCACTATCCCTTTAAGACACTTCAGAATGAGAAAATCAGTAAAGCAGAACATGAGATCAGGCCCCTCACCAGCTCGTGTTTCTTGCGGCTGGCTTCTGATTCCTTCTTAGCCAGTTCGGCCATCTCCTCCTTGATGTCTCGAATCTGCCTGAGGAGACGCTTGTTCTGCTCCTTCTCTCGGTTCTCGCTGGCACTGCGTTGGTCTCTTTCCTCAGTCAACTTCTCGAGATTCTCTTTCAACCTCGCTACAAGACTCTGAAGAAGATGCAATCATTTATTTACCACATACATGCAGCAATGACATGCACTATCGCTTAAGTGTTTCTGAACCCACTGTGGTTGTTTACCAAATCTAGCAAGTCTAGCGCTGATGTATGCAAGATTGTCAAGCTATGCATATGGTGTGAAACTCCAAATAACTTCCATAGCAACTTATATGTGATTTTTCACACCAAAGGTGGGCTGCACACTGGCATGGAAACAGAAATATCTGCATATTAAGAAAACAGAGATTCTTTATAGCTACGGATGGGCTTGGTTTAAGCAAGCTGCCCCAAGAGATTACATTTCCCAAGCCTGTGCTGTGTTAATATGTCCAACAAATCAGTAAAAATACCGCTTTTCAAAGCGCTTCTGTAGACAGATTTTGCTGTGGGCGCAGTAGACGTTCGTAATTTGTGCAGAGTGCCAATTGTAATTTTGCAGGTGAGCAGGAGCATCCAACAGACATGAACGGTGAAGAGGACTGGCTGCTGGAAAATGTCACGTAAGGAGCAAAAAATCCATCAAATCAAACAAAACAAAACACTGAAATAATGTGCATTAGAGAAAACACATTTTAATTACGCTAGCTGTGTACAATGCAAAAGCAGATGACCTGCCACCTCCAGCAGCAAAATATATCACACATGAAATGAAATGTAGATTTCCTCTCTAAAAGGGGGGCTGACTCTGTCGATTTGAAAAACACAGAGAGGAGACAGAAATAATCCACATTCAATTTGTAGTGCCTTTTTTTGTTGAGAATTGTAAAGCACTTATTGTAGCCTACAAGGATTAAAGGTCTATAAAGTGGTGGGACAATGAGGAGAGGCCTGGAGGGTGTGTAGATTAATTTTATCCTTATCCAACACTCCAATGCCTGCGCACTGACCTTTTGACACTTCCAGCACCCAGCCTACTCAGCCCACATGAGCACATGCATTCTGCCAACTTACCTCCAAGCGCTTGACCTGTGTCTTCTCGAACTCCAGCTTGGTCTCTAGCTCACGGATCTTGGCCTCCTGCCGGCTGACCAGCGACTTGTCCACCATGGACTGCTCTTGGAACTCTAGCTGACTCTGCAGGGATGTGAGCTGCCAAACACACACATACAGAGTGAGAATTCACACATACATTGAGCAAAACAAAAGCAATATGTACAGTATTTTACTGAATTCCTAACTTCTGAACAGCTGAATATAACTATTATGTGCTAAAAAAGCCCCTGCCCTCCATGGGGTGTCTTTAACGAGGCCTACCTGGTTTCAAATAGCTCTGCCGGTTAACATTAAGTAAGTCAAACCTAGTTGAAACCAATATAGAGGTTCTGATACTGAATTATACATGGTGATAGTGTTTGAATAATGGATTTGAGACCCATCTTTGAATTTCTCTTCAAAGAAATCATCCTATTATTAAAGACTCAAATGCTGAGAGGGGGCGGAGTCTGACTCTATTATTAAATAATCAAATTCCGAGGCGCGTTTTGATGGAATCTCATTAGAGTCCAAACTAAGCTGAGAGGGTGGAGTCAGACCTTGATCTCATACAAGAGTAAACAGTTGAAAGGGTGGAGCCTGATCTTGAGCTCATGAAAGAATAAACTATTCAAAGAGCAAGAGTCTAAATGTTATTTCCATATTGTAATTTTCCAGTGCAAATACATTGACCTTAAGCACCTTAGCTCACCTTAAGCAGAAATGAAACAAAACAGGAGCTGATATCTGATTCACTTGCAAGTAAGAGTAACTTCGCGAATAGCATTTCCATATGGATGCCAAAGTGAATTCACCTTCTCCTGGACGTCCTGTTTCTCCTTCATGGCCTCCTCCAGCTGGGCCTGCAGGTCACTGATCTGGGCCAGGTTCTGTGAGGACTGTTCAAGAACACACCACAGAGGGGTCAGAGTGTTCTACACACACAATAGGATACATAATCTGAACCTACAATTCCTTTATCTACTTGAAGTGATCTAAACATCATTTTGTGCTATATACATGCATGCAGACATTGGATATCTTCAAAAAAAAAAAACCAAATTGTGGTTAATTCAGGAACAGTGTTGTTCGCATATTTAGTTCTTGTCCACTCTGCCTCTGCCTTTTTTGTCTTTTTTTTTTTGACATTTATATTGTATTGCATTATTTATTTTTTTTCTACTCGTATTTTTATTCTTGTATTGCATTTTATCAAAAGCCCTTATTGTTTTGTATTGCTCGTGTATTGTATTGCATTTTTACTAAAAAAGCCCTTCTAGGGACTAATGTTGTAAATTAGCTTTGGCTAAAAACATTGATACATGCATCAGATCACTATCAAAGTGTATCTATGTTATCTGTATCTGTCCCTATCTAAATAAACTATAATAATAATAATAATCCGTAAGTATGCACATTTTCTGTTTGTATTAAATATTCATATGATTGTATACTGCAAAATTCACCACAACACAAATATTTCATTGTTTAAAAAGGTGGAAAATTGGACATCCAGTATTTCAAATAATCTGCAAAATAGTGTAATAACCCTCATTTAACTGGTGCATACGGCCCCATTTACCATTTAGAAAAACAAGCAAGCGGTGCACAGTGGAAGGGGGAAATATGCATGATGGTATGTTACTTTGGTGATATATTTTACAGCACATTGCAAACCATTTAGCTGTTGACAGACACGCAATCTTATGGTCTGTTAATGACATCTCACAAAAAATGGGAGCAATAAATAGCATGTTAACATAAGCATGAGTGAAATGGAGCCTCAAATGGAATCTGAATGCCTCAAGTATGAATGTGACTGCATTTTAAAACCTGATATAGCCATAAATGAACCATAGAGTTGAAGTAAACCCAAGGGAACAGGCTGTTCCATTGGAGAGGATCTGTTTACTTAGAATCTATGGAGAGACATCACTCATCTCTACATAGCTGCCATTTCAGCATGCTGTGTTTAAAACACTCTTAATAACAATCAACCCACACACTCAAATACATGACAATCGCTCCAGCGACACTCCCATTGGCACGAACGACCAATCAAAGGCAGAAATACTAAGTGGTCCATCTGCACACACTAAATGTCGCTGTAGATTTGATTTGCATGATGGAAGCATGTTGCTGAGAAACAGCAATGAATCATACAGGACAATTTCAGATATGTTGGAATGATGTAGCACGCAATACGCTCAGTGTCAAAAAATAAATCATTGAAAGGACAACACAACTGTGAACAAAAAGGCTTGTTTTGTTTCATGCTGCTCTTGCTATGCAATAGCATTGTGATTGCTGTGAATGCTGTAACCTGTTCATTATATTCAACACAACACGCTTTTATTTTGCAGTGTGAAATAATCCCTAAATTTATAATAGTGTTTGTGTAAATCATTGTAAATCTCTGAGATCTCAATTAGACCAAATTCTCACTAGGAAGGCAGAGAGGGATATATTATTTGCAAGAAAAAGATTTTTTGAAATGGGTAATAAACCTAACCGCTTACTCGCTAGGATAGTTAAAAAATGTCCATAATAGTGTTTGTGTGTGTATGTACATATATATATTAGAGCTCTTCTAAAACCAATTGATGGTGTGTAGCTTATCATTTCCATGCAGGGATGACAATGTCAAGATTCATCGGGCTCAAATTGTGAAAGAACGGTTAGGAGGGAAGAATCTTTTTCACACATGAATTGAGACCTTAAATTCTACAATATATATATATATATATATATATATACACACACACACAAATTACAAAAACATTTTAAATGTACATGTAAAGACGCATCTACTCTGTGTGTGATGATGAGAGAAAAGCTCTGTACAGCTCTCTGACAGACAGAGACAGTTACCTGGGCAACGGCGGCTTTGTGTTTCTTCATGAGTTCATTCATGTCCTCCTGGTCCTCCTCCATGCGAGACTGCAGGTCATTCTTCTCTCTCTGCAAACGACTCAGCTGTTCCTCAAGCTGCACGGGAAACAAACAATAGAATGAGACATTTAGCAAATTAAAATGTAAAAGAAAAAAGTCTGAAAAGTCAAAAAAATTAAAACTGATAGAAATGCTAGACATGTTGGCAAGTTCACAAGCCATTTTACTTTCATAAAACAACGCACTTCTGGGGATATTCAGGTTAAAAAAAGTGTCTTTGGTATATGCATCAGGGACTAATTGGTTGATGTACATTAAGACTGAGGAAATACACACAAATTAACTCAATTTTTGAATAATTATTTAGGTTAAATGGACTCTTTTCACAGACTGTGATGATGTGTTTCCACATTTATCAATATCGTAAATATAGTAAATTTTTTCATATCTTTAAAATTAATAATTTAAATAAATACAAATTATAAGCTCAAATGGTCACCTTGCTCTATTCTGTGATGCGCGTTCGTGACTCTCCTGTTCGAACTTGTTTATCAAAATGAACTAATCTTTTTTCGTGTCATTTGCATCATTCAACGAACGAAATGAACGAATTGACTCGGAAAAAGATTTGTTCATTTTGGTAAACTAGTTCGAACTGGAGAGTCATGAACGCGCATCACAGAATAGAGCAAGGCGACCATTTGAGCTTATAAAACTTAAGCTTTGTTTTTTTTTATGAGCGATTGTTTCGCTTGATAAGACCGTTATTCATTGTCTGGAATCGTTTAAAGCCATTTGAACAGTTTGCACTTTGCACTGACTGTCTTTTGGACCTTGAACCGTTTGTTTACCAGTAAAGTGCATTATATGTCAAAAAATCCTGAAATGTTTTCATCAAAAACCTTAATTTCTTTTCTACTGAAGAAAGAATGACATGGACATCTTGGATGACATGGGGGTGAGTAAATTATCAGCAAAAGTTTTTTTTTTTTAAAGTGAACTACTTCCTTGCTGCTGCAAGGATGTTTCTAATACAATGGTTTCAAATACAATTATACAATGAGTAACAGCAAATCTGACATATTTCTCTCTTCTGACTGCTGTAATCAATATCTCAATATTTCTTCGCTCTTTTTTTGGAAGTCGTCGAAACGCTATCACAGATTTTATCTTTTGCTATTGGAGCAAATGGAAATATAAAAACTATTTTTGCTGTCTCCGGTTCAGTGCTATAGAAGTTCAACTCTACAAAAAAAATATTGTTGGTTTAACTTAAAAAAGTAAGTAACCTGGGTTGCCTTAAAATTTTAAGTTGATTGAACTGGAAAAAGTGAGTTAATACAATGAAAGAGATTGATTTAATCATCAGAAACTCAAAATAATGAGTTATCTGAACTACATAAATTGTTACAAAAAGTTGATTAGCCAAAAGAAAAAATGTGATAAATCTTGACAATATTTTTTTTTTACAGTAAATGCACTATGACGACTTCTGCTTTCTGACCCTAAAAAAGTAATAAGGGTCCCTTTTAACTATTTTTATTGATACAGTCAAACTCAAACCTGTGGCCTGCATGAGCACCACATCTAAACATGTCAGGAGCATGTGAGGCTAACCACTCCAACTTTAGTTCTCCTTTTTAGTTTGAAACTGAAAGCCAGTCTCCTGATTCCTTAAAGAGATCATTTTCCTGTCACCTTGTTACTAAACAGTAGCTGCTTGCATTGTATAAATCCCTGAGAACACAGCACTGTCTCCCAATTAGAGAACACTTCCCTGCCTGCTCTGTCAAACAGTATCAGAGGTCTAACTCTATTCAATAATAATTACCTCAACAATACAGGCAGCTAATCTCCGAGGAGTATCTATCAAATGTTTTAGTAAAAGCAAAAAATTTAGACATCACACATTACTAATGAACTAATGAGTATAAAAGCAGGAAATTAAATGATTTAGTAAAAAACATCCTCATGTAGACAGCTTGGGTTTTCTTTCACACACTCTTTCATAAACCAATTCAAATAAAGTTATATTAAAATTTAAAGGGCTTATATTCTACAATTTGCCCTTGTTTCCATTACATCAAACACCATATTTTTTTTAGACTTTCTGACTCAAGAACGGTTTCTATATGTAAATTACTTCTTTTATGATTGTTTAATACTGTATCTTTGAATCTGAAAATTACCTTAGGTATATATACACTAACATTTTTAAAATTTATGATTTTTTGAAGCAAGTAATTTTATTCACCAAGGACACATTCATTTGACCAAAACTGACGGTTAATTAATTTTATAATGTTTATATTATTAAGTTATAATATACAGTATAATATTACTGCTTTTACTGTATATTTGATCAAATAAATGCAGCCTCGGTGAGCATAAGAAACCTTTTAAAAACAACAACAAAAAAATCTTAATGATCCCAAACTTTGTAACGGTAGTGTAAATTGTGGTCATGATTATATGCTTGTGTTTATGACATTAAAATTATCGAAGTTTTCATAAATTATAAACATGGATTGACTTTTGCAGAAGTATGTGTACAAATTAATGAAAATCCTGTTTTCCATTATACGTTAACACAAGATATTTCCTTTTTTCTGTACAGATCCGTTCCACACCTTAAAATGGTGTCTGGCAAGTGTACTGTCTCAAATCTATGCGTCACCTTCAAATCCTCCAGTGGAAATCCATGATCTCCCAGGGGAGGGTGGGGGTGTCAGACAGACCTGAAGCTAATCAGACAGTGATCATGACCAGACCATTTATCACGCTCTTGCTAATCAATGACAATATTTAGAAGAGAGACAGTTTTAGAAATAGCCACAAAAACACTCGACTGCACCAAAACAATGCTTCAGAATGGCAACGGCTTTATGGAAGATTAAAATGTTCACTGCACCCTTCTGTCAGAGTGTCTCTTGCTCCAGAGAGCTGAGCAAATATGACAGGCGGCGATGACAAAAAAAAAAAAAAAGAAAACAATATGGAGACAGCATCAGGGGAACAGCATCTGCAGATTTTTGGCTGCATCCGTCTCTCCTGATATTGCTTCATAATACACTACAGTGAGGACACAATTACACCATTTTCTCCACGCTTAAATAATAATGAATCAATGTCAGAATTATTAAAGTGTAATGTATTTCACGGCGATACATCCTGTTCGAATTAGAGCCGGGATCGGAAACATGCCATTATGGGCGGAAATCATTTCCCCCTGGTAAATAATTGAAACGACATCCTGGCTGCCACCTATGGTGAATGAAGACAGGTGGTGTCTGTGTCTATGCATGCCTCTGACTCTAATGTAAAAGGGAAAAAAAAATCAAATCAAGAGTTATTCTTTTACCAAACACAGAAAGACTTACCGCCTGCTTGGATTTGGATATGTCGTCCATTTGTACATGGAGGTCCTCGATCTCTACTTCCATTGACTTTCGGGCCTTGACCGCAGCAGCGCATGTGAACTCTGATTCCTCGAGCTGTAAAGAGCACACATGCAAACACACATAAATGAAATGTATGTTTACTACTGGACCTCATGTTTGATGCGTTATCTACCGAGCCCAGGGGAGCTGAGAAACAGACCTGGTTCTTGAGCTGAGCGATCTCTCTCTTGCTGGGAGCGTTGTTCTTCAGGTGATCCAGCATGATCTGGGCATCAGCCAGCAAGGCCTTTGTGCGCTTCAGGTCCTTCCTCAGACGCTTCTCTGTCTCTACATCTCTGTGGCTCACCTGAAAACAAAGGACAGCTTATATTATCTTTACATGTTGTTCACACTGAAAGCTTAGGAATGATGGTTAAGTTTAGCAACTGTTACTTTGAGGAAACATACAAAAAAATACATTTTATTTTCATGACAGAACATAACCAGAAAACTTCACCAAAATAATATTTTTGTTTATGTTGGAAACGTTTTATATTTCATTTATGTACCGCAACCTTTAATTTTATGGGAGTGATTTTGAAAATCTTTAAACTTAAAAAAGACAAACCAAAGTCAATCAATAGCCTTTAATTTATGTCATGATTCTCACAAACATTATTTTCTATCATTATTTGCTGCTTGCATCCGTTGGTCTGTAGCATTTGGTATTAGAGGAAGGGACATTTTCATTACAGTTGACATTTGATTTAATGTTTACACTTAATTAGCATTTTTGGTCCATGATTTACAGAAAGATATTATTTTTTAAAATGTCCAAAAATGTCAATTTCTTTGAAAGTATTTTATGCTCACCAAGGCTGTATTTATTTGACCAAAAACACAGTAAAACTGAAATTTATTTTAAAATCATTACTACAGTCTTCAGTGTCACATGATCCTTCAGATATCATTCTAATATGCTGATTTACTGCTAAAGAAACATTTCTTATTTTCAATATTGAAAACAGTTGTGTTGAATTTTGTGGAAACGAAACCGTGATACAGTTCTCAATAAGATTATTTCTATCATGACTTTCAGATTTTCGGATGACGAACGCTCGAGCGCGATTTGAGTTTTTCCTCGAGAGATATCATGTCTTGCAAACGAGCGAAGCATGGCAGTTGATCAGTGTTCAGATGTACAAATTGAACACAAAAGTATTTTTTAGTTCCTTCATCCGAGCCTCTGAAGAAACAATGGGTTCATTTAATTTTCTCTGGAAATGCGCCAACACAACTTCCCAAAGTTTTGTATGGTCAAAACATTTCACCGACGACTGTTTCCTCAACTAGGGCCAATATAGAGCTGGCCTCGATGAACGTCTGAAAATAAATCGACCGAGCAACAATTTCTGATGTGTAGCTTAATTGTAAAAATGTATAGCAGTAGTACAAATATTCACATATAATACGTAGCTATTTAATATGTAAGCATGTCAGCCAATCACAGCAGTGGGCGGTTACACTGAATCCCACAGCAGACACGCCCCTTCAAACAGAGCGTTCAAATCACAGGCTAAAATCAGGCTAGGAAAAATGCCTTTTATTTCTAAATTATGACTATTTTATCTAAAAAAACATACTAACATTATAAGAGCAAGCCAGGAAACATTCTAAAATAATAAAATAAGCCCATGTCAGGGGACATTTAATAAAAAATATGTAATAAAAAATTAAAAAGGTATTTCATACCGCATATATTAAATCAACATATTTCAGACCTTGACTAGTTCTATATCATTTTCATGAGTGCAGTACCTGCTCCTGGGCACACATCAGCTTGGCTTCCATGTCTCTCCTCTCCCGTAAGACCTTCTGCTTTTCTTCATACTCCTCCTCCAGCTGAACCTCCATTTGCTTGAGCTGTTCACACCAGCAAAACAGTAACAGAACATCATATAAGGCATATGTGAAGTAGGTTTACCCCAAAGAGTCAATCCAATTATATACTGTCATTCCAGACAACACATTCCCTAAATGTGTCTTTAGATGCTTCTGAGCACCTTCAAGTGCCAATCAAAGGATTCGGTCGTGAGAAAGAAGGGTAATTATAGGATGCACTGTACTGGCAGCTTGATTGGTTAAGTGGAGAGGAGGGAAAGGTGAAATATACGTGAGGAAAATAAAATAGGCCCATGAATTATACATCAAAACAAAACTCAATGAGTTCAGCTTATCTGCTCCTCCGCGGCAAAGACACTCTACAAATGGGAAGTCGCTATCTGCAACAAGAGCTGCGCGCTGAACAACGGTGAATGAAAATTCTTATTCAACACATGGCCGAATATGTCTTGTTTATTTATGTTGTACAGAAAGCAAAGCGAGCTCTGCAAAAGGACTGAACATCAGCAATTAAAATGTTATAAATTGAACACAGAACAACTTCTGAAACCAATTGTAAAGTATTCAGAGCGCATTGATAGTGGTGTTAGCTGGTGACTTGCACTTAAAAGTGAAAAGTTGACTGAATGTGTTTGGGAGCTATCAGAGGCCATGCATTTTTTATGTCTTGGTTCTTCATAATTGCCATAAAAACTTAATTTTCTTGTGATTTTGAAATCATAAAAAGATTTTTTTCTGAGATAAACATAATTTTGTAGTGATCTAAACATAACAAAAAATGTTTAGTCGAGATTCTGACTAAAAAGTTCCTTTACATTTATGATATTACAATAAAATATATATATTTTTTGTTAATATAGTAATGCATTATTTTCTGGTGTATGGTGTATTTGATTGACTGTACTATAAGATTAATATTAATGTATACATATATTACTAACATTAATTAGAATAATACGATTAATATAATTATGAATACAAATATTTTGTAAATATTATTTCAAGAGCTAATATTCTCACTGCGCATTTTTTGTAAATAAAAGAAAATTAATAATAATTATACTAATAATAATAATAAACAGAAATATTTACAACCAGCTCTATAATATAATTGCACATTGAGTAAGTAAGGAAGGAAGGAAGGAAGGAAGGAAGGAAGGATATTACATATTAAAAATGTAAGAACTAATATCCTCGGTGTGGATTCATTGTAGAGCAGTTTGTAAATAAAAGAAAATCATTAACAATAGTAATAATAATTTACAATATTTACAAATAAGAATAAGAATATTAGCTAATTAGTATTATTTAGCATTTCCATAATAACATGAAGAAAGAAATTATGAAAAAATGCTTTTATTTATAGAAAACATTTGTGTGAAATAATAAAAATACAATGACGCCAACATGCCAAAGGTTGCATTGACTATGAGCAGTTTTTGTCTTATAGTAGTTGGTGGATGTATTGTACCTTCTTGCTGCAGGACTGTCTGATCTCCTCCACCTCGTCGTCTTTGCTCTCGATCTCTTTCGAATGCGTCTGTCTCAGTCTCTCCATCTCCATCTCCAGACGGAGCTTGGCCTGCAGGTCACAACATCAACATCTCATTGAATACAACATACGACGCGCGCATACAGATGCATATGCAAAACAACTCTGCCGCACAGGCCAATAAAAGTCTTCTTAATTATTATTATAATGTATGCAAACTGTAAGTATTGACAGTTTCTTCATAACGACGCATCAGCTGAATCTACATAAATTAGCATATTATGCATGAGAGGTTAAAATTGTATGCGTGGAGAATATACATCATTCCAAGACACAATACATAAAACATCAGTCAGCTCAATCCAAAACATACATCCTTATTCTCATGAAATGATTACCTGCTCCAGCATCTGAATGGTTCCAGCCTGCTCATCGAGTTCTTCTTCTTGATCTTTGACCTTTGCCTCAAGGTCACGAAGCTGCTTTTTAACCTTGGCCAACGACGCCTCGTCCTTTGAATCCTGTGAGTTCTGATCTTGAAGCTCCACCTCCAACTGCTCCAGCTTCAGATTGACAGCACATATCTCCAGATCCTTATCCTGAGAGAGCAGAGAAAAAAAAAAAACCTCATTTAGAACAACATAGTCTGGACTCGGCACACACAGACACATTTACGTCACGGTCAGGAAAAGTCTGTGGGTGAGAGACAACAAAGGAGGATGATATAAGCGAGGTTTCTGACCTCTAGTTGTTGTCTAAGGCTGAACACTTCCCCGGTCAGCATGTCTTTCTCTCTGCTCAGCTTCTCCCGCAGACTCTTTTCTCTCTGCACCTCCTCCTGAGCCTGAGTCTGCTCCGAGTCAAACCTGCAGACATTGCATGTATAAAAAACACAAACGGTCAACAAGCTTAATCTCAGGAAAAGGGAAACAAAGGTACAAAGTCATTTTCCAGAGGCTTTGCACTCTCTGTTCCAAAAGTATGTGCTGCAATCTTACACCAAATATGCTGAGACCATCATAACTGATTCCACAAGCACTTAACTAGACTACAACCATAATGGCACTTCCTATGATATTAAATATATACAATAAATTAATAAAAATTGATTCAGCTCCAGGTTTTTTTTTTTTATCAATTTAGCTTATACTTCAAACGTGTTCAGTACATGTGTAAATACTGTTGGCTCTTATGATAAAGTGCTTGATTGTTTGTGATGGTCGTCATACCCAAGTCACTTTGTATAAAAATGTAAATGTAAAAAACTAAGTATGATCAGATGAAACCAACCATGATATTTGCCATTGGTTACCAGCCAATTATGTGGAAAAAATTGTGTGATTTTTCATCCAAAACATCATTTATTCACCATTATCATTGTTCCAAACTGGTATGACATTCTTTCTTTTGTGGAAGACAAACTAAGATAGGCTACTAATTTAAAGCATGTTGGTAACCAAACTGTTTTGATTATACAATGAACCTCCACTGCATTTCTCAAAATATCTTATTTTATGTTTCATCAACGAAAGACAATCATATGGTTTAAGAATGACATAAATGAATATAAATGAAACAGGATAAACTGAATTTTTGAGTTTTGGGTGAATGATCACTTTCACCAGTCAAGCAGACAGACCTTTTAATTTAAAGGAAAACAAGACACACAGCCGAGGCTGACAAACCTTATTAAAATAATGTTTTAGCAGTGAACATGGATGTGATTTTTTCTAATTTCAACTTTAAAAGCTAATTAATCTGCAATTGAATTATCTGCATATCGTGATTGCATCTGTGTTTTTTATATTGGTGTTAGTAACTGAAAAACCCATATTAGTTGATCATTAGTCAAATTATGCACAATGCAATAACTAAAGGCAATCACTCATTTCTTCTAATCACACTAATCTATAATCAAAGCACAAGTATAATGACAAAAGAAACATACCTGCTTTTCCTAAAATAGCCCAGCATAGCACAGCAGAGTGTTGAGAAACTAAAACTCCTTTAAGGCTTACAGTATTGTGTGTGACGTGTGTGTCAGGAGGGGAATTAGGGGAAAACATTCTGATTGGGTTAGCTTGTAAGTGGGTAACAATGTGTGAGCAGGGGGGAGTCGTGATGCTTTAGGGCAAATCAGTTAATACTTTCCCTCTTTTTATAGTTTTCTCTTTCGTTCTCCACCCCCTTCTCTCAGAGGCCCTGTTATGATCCCATAAATGAGTCTTATGCAACTCTTTGTCTAAATCCAAGCCCCATAGAGAATTGAAGGACCACTCTCCTTGCCCTCCCTTTAGCTAAATCTGAGCCTCAGGCCGATCATTACATTTAGAGTGGACTTTCACACATGCAGTCTCCACTGAAAAGCACGGCCTCCGCCTGTTTACTCAACAGTCAAGTCAAGTCAAATATATTTATATTATATTTATATATATAAATATATATATATTTATATATATTTATATTATATTATAAAATATATAGCGTTTTTCACAATACAGATTGTATCAAAGCTGCTTCACAGTATCAATAAAAACAACTTAACAGTGTTTGTTTATTACTGGAAAAAAAAAAGTCTAAAAAGGTTTAGCCTCAGCACCTTCGCACATTAACCACCACCACCTGTCGCTAAGAGTGATACTCTTACTCTTGGGCTACTCTTAAGGCTTGTTTACATCAAGAACTAACAAACTACAAAATTATACTACTAATTCAAATTCTATGAGGGTAGAAAACTTATTTTCAACTCTGTGTGAAAACACATTCTTTTTTGCTGTTAAAAAAAAACTTGAATTTGAAATGAATATAATTACTATTAGGAATTAAACGATTTTAGCATTTTGAGTTTTACCAGTTTCCATAATGTAGAGAGTTACTGAAAAGCTCCATAAAAAGAGACTGAAACTACAGTAGTATGAGTGACTGAAAGCCCCATAAAGAGGCATAATTATCCAATATCTGGTCTGACTCACTTGCGCTGTTTCTTCTCCAGGTCGTGGTTGCGGCTCTGCTGGCCCTCCAGGTGCAGTTTGGTGTCCTGCAGCTCGGCGGTCAGTCTCTGGCATTTCTTCTTCAGCTGCTGAGCCACACGCTGCACCTCTTCATTGTCCGCCTGCAGGTCTGTCAGCTAAACACACAGATTCTCAGTGAGTCTGTACAGGTGGATCTGTCCGTCCAGTGTACGTCTTGTCTAGATGTGTGAGTTCAGCTAATACATTCATGTTTGAGACTGAACACAGTACATGCTGTTGTGTTGGACCACACTGACAATACGAGTGAAGCCTGAGTCTTTTTTGATGTGTGTGTTAGTTTGGCAGAATAAAGTCAACAGCAGGGATGCACTAAAATGATGTACAATACCAATAAGCTGATAATTATTTTCATGTTATGGCCGATTACCGATAAATGGGTGAAATTAAAACAATATGCTACTTTGCCTAAATAAAATGAAAATAAAACATCAGAACTAAAAGCAATTGTTTTAAATGCTGTAAGTGAATTTAGGCATCAAAACATTATAATATGAAGCTATTCGTGTTGAGATTTGCAATGAGCATTCCCATTTAAATATCAAATAACGGCCAATAAAATGTCTAAAATAATAGATACAGAACTGATATTGTGCATCCCTAGTTGACAGACTTGAAGTGCAAAAAAAATGTTGTTGGTTTTTTTTTTGTGTGTGTGTGTTTGTAAGATGCCCTAACCTTTCTCTCCAGCTGCCTCTTGTTTTGCTGCTCCACCTCCAGTTTGTCATCAAACTCTTGCTGGAGTCTCTTCTTGGTGAACTCGATCTCTCTGATGGCCCTCTCATATTTCAGCCTCCATTCTCCTCCTGAACACAAGAGTTAGTGACGATCAAGGCCGCGCAGTTCATTGTGAGACGGCCTTGTGAGATTATTAAACCGCATATTTCTGCGATTTATTTAAATAAATATGTCAGTGCTTCAAAGCGAAGTGGCGGCACTCTGTTTTGTCTACTGCACATAGTCCAAGCACTCCATCTCAACAGGTTCAGTGCACTTGAAGTTGGCGGTGCAATTTTAAATGTCAGATGTTTGTCATAATGCTGTTAAAATCACATTATTTGGCATCATAATTGCAATGTGATTTTCAAGGTGAAACACTATGGGCCAGATTAGTCTGTGGTCATTCCCTGAAGAGAGCCGAGGTTTAAACTCTGGATCACTGCCAGGGAAATTTCACGACACACAGAAACTCATTCTGTGGTTTTAAAAGATATCTGATAAACTGAAAACAAGCAAAAACACACAAGTCAATAAATCAAAGCAGATCAATGATTTGTGAGCAGTGGTGGAGGAAGTACTGAATCTCAGTACTTAAGTAAAAGTACAAATATCCAGATAAATTTTTACTTAAGTAAAAGTCGAAGTAACACAATGACAACCATACTTAAAGTACATTTAAAATCAGGTACTTTTTACTTAAGTATTAAAAGTAAAAGTACTTGCATAACAATTACTAGTTTTTTTGTTAGATAATGGTTTATATATATTATCTAACAGTTCTCAAAGCAATGAGCATGGATTTGTGTCTCTAATAAATAATGAGACACCAGATTTTCCCTCTTCACAGAAAGTTCCAGAAACAGAAGAGACAGAGAGAGACAGAGAGAGTGCTCATGTTTGGGGTTTCACTGCCCCCTGGCATTTCCATATAAACAGCTTAATGAGGAGCAGCAGCTCTGATGCTACAGATTATTTTCTCATTTGTCTGGAGGTGCCACACTGAAGCGCTCAGCACACCTGAAGCTCTACCCCTCACCAGAGAGTCATGGGCCATCAAACTCATGGAAATACTCCCAGATAACCCTTCAATTCTGCCAAAATTATTCAGGAAGGGTCTGAGAGTTTTTGCTCAAAGCTCAGCAATCATAAGTGAATCCCTTCACTGAGATCGCATTGTGCAATTTATTCCAATCTTGCTCTGTCCAGGAAGTGATGTCACAAACTCACCGGTGTCATCGTCATCCATTTCCCCGTTGAGCTCCGATGCGCGTATGAGCCGTGCCTCCATCACTTCCATCTCCATGGACTCCATCTGCTTCTTCATAGCATCAAACTTGGCCTGAAAGACAAACACAAACACAGAGCACATCAGCTCTCTGTTCTGCAGGGAAATGTCCAGCCCATCTGCTCACAAAGGCAACCCTGAGCCTAGGAGACACATAAAAACACACTGTACACACACACACCCCAGGCATACACAGACAAATACCTACAGTCTCTTGCTCACACTGACACACACTGTCTTTCACAAGGATATTTAATATGAGATGACACAATTTGTATACGGCTCATGCTCTGCTGCATGGACTGCATTGTCTGTGCTTTGGTGGAAAATATCTATTTCAGGCATGAGGAGATTCCTTCCAGAAAACCATCAACTCAAACCCTATCTCTGTTCAAATGTGTGTGTGTGTGTGTACCTGTAGATCCTTCATGTCTTTCTCTAGCCTCAGTCTCTCCGATGTCTCGGACTCCAGCAGCTGCGAGGCAGACTCGCCTGTGTTACGCTCATCGGCAAGTTCTGATGACAGTTCTGTGATCTGAAACGTACATATGATGGATAAACATTAACTAGATGTGGCACACATGCTTTATACAAACTTTAGAGTAGTGTATGAGCTCATCTCACACACATGCAACACTTCACATCTATATCATCACTCACATATTTCACACAGGGACGATAGCTTTTTGCTTTTGTCTTAAAGGGATACTCCACCGTTTCTTTCATATTAAACTATGTCATTCCCTTAACTAAGACGAGTTGATGCATACCTCTCTCGTCAATCGCTCTGGCGCGCGAGACACTTTGATAGCACTTAACTTAACTTTAAAAAGTATTGTTTCTAATAATCATGCACTTGAAGATGGCACCAGCTGTTTAATTTAGTCATTTATTCTAATTCTTTTTTTGCTATAGCTGAATGTTTACTTGAACACACTATTGCTTAATATTTCAGTAACCTATTCACTTTTTTACAAATAGTTCATTTTGTTTATTTATTGTATAAAATATGACATAACTTATATTTGTATCAATTATACATTACATGCAATTATTATATCAAATATATATTATATAATTTAAGTATATATTATTGTATAAAAAACTATTTATTATTGTTTTCTTGAATACATTTAATCATTGTTTTAATTTGTTAATATTTATAATATTTTTTTTTTAAATAAAAGGGGTTTGTTAATTAGCTTAAAGGGTTAGTTCATCCAAAAATGAAAATTCTGTCAGTATTTATACAAATACATACTATGGTAGTCAATGGGGAATGAGATCTGTTTGATTAAAAAATTCTTCCAGATATCTTCCTTTGTGTTCAGCAGAACAAATAAACACATAGATGTTTGGAACAACTTGAGGGTGAGTAAACGATGATAGAATTTTCATTTTTGGGTGAACTAACCCTTTAACCCCATTCATTTTTGTTGTTATCTTAAATTTCTTATTGAGAATAATGAATTTTCATTGGCATTAATTACTGAAACTTTGGTATGGAACAACCTACAAGTATGTATGCACCTGTGATATGCCCAAATGACATCAGCATGATCAATATGTGTAAACAATAGAGTTTCTTTTAATAGAATCTGAACCGAATTGAATTTAAACACCAACCTTGCTTTCTAGCCGGTCACTATTGAGTCTCAACTCGTTCCTCTCCTTCTCCACTTTCTCCAGCCTCAACTTGAGCAGCTGAATCTCCTCCTAAAGACAGACAGACAATCAGAAAACACAATAAGACAGACAGAAAGACAGGATGACAAGAAATTCAGCTGATATACAGTATAAAGGAATGACCACACATTTAAACACAATGACAGTTACTATACTTAGTGAAGTATAGAGATAGAAAGGTGAGATAAATTAGAAACTGTAACGGAATGGCAGACAGGAAGAAAGCCCGCCCGGTTTTAAGTCTCAATTACCGCAAACCTCCTCCTACTTTCCAAAACTCTTCTTCTGCCAACTTGAGAGAAATGCAAAGCACAGCCAATCGGTTGCAGCTCTGAAATGTGTTTGAGCAGAGCAGATAGTGACTCTGTGTTTGTTTTTTAAAAGCAGGCTGTTTGGAGGCAGTGTCAGCACCCGTCTGTCTCTCGCAGGAGCACGCCCGACTGCATGGCTACACAGCACTCAGCGGGAAGCGGCCCAGCGGACGAAACGCGCATGCACGCGCGCACACACTCTGTGACATGCTAATGCACTCCCCCGCGGGAAGCAGTGCTGCTTTTGATCCAGCATGCTACATAGGTAATGTATGCATACACACAGCCCTGCCACTCTCCGCACACACAAACACACACAGGACTCTACAAACACTTGGATTGAGGCGAAGCCGCAGAGACAGTAACCAAAGAGACAGGTGATTTGGGTGCGACTGATAGTTGCAGCTGAATTTGAGAGGGACCCCCGCGGGGCAGAGAAACCAAGAGGGGCATTAAAAGCCACACAGATGGTCTTTGTATTCAGCTCTACTATTTTCAAAAGGCAAAATCTGTACATGACACGCCGATTTACAGCATTTAAACTGGTTAGTGAAGATGACTGGTCCTTACGTCTTTGCCACGGATCTGCTCCTCAGTCAGTTGAACCTCGATGAGTGGACGGACGGTGGTAAAAAGCTTCCACCAAGGCCAGCCCTTCACACCCCGGTTCTTCTTGATGTTTTTCTGAATGCAGCGGATTGCCAAGTCCTGGATCTGAAAAACAAGGATATTTTTATGACTGTGTGTGCGTCCTGCTGCTGTGCTAGTGAGAAATTGTCAGGTCTTTAGGTCTTGTGCATGTGAAGTACAGTAGCTCAAACCAATCAGAGCCCAGATGAACAAAAGCAGGCCTGTGTTTGGAGGCTCAGGGCCCCACAGTCAAAGAGCTTCCCTTGGGTGAACCAGCTCTGAATGGACCTTTTCAACTCCGGGATGTCCAGTGCGGTCCACAGTAAGCCTGAAGGTGGGACTCTAAACTTCAGGGGTTCTTTTTGTACAGTATTTATTAAAGGGATAGTTCACTTTGAAATTAATTTTTTATATGTTTTAGCTTACCTCAAGGCATCCAAGATGTAGGTGTCTTTGTTTCCACAGTATTTTCAATGTTGACATTTTTCGGTCAAACCGTTGTTGTCTATCAGTCATCAGGTACACAGAGATTTCAGAAGTTTTACCTTTCACTGTGAAGATCTAAACATATTTAGATATACATGAAAATCGCAATGGAAGACAATTTTGATATATCTAAATATGTTTAGTGAAAGGTAAAACTTCCGAAATCTCTGTGTAAACCATTAGTGACGTACACGCACAAGCGATCACTTCCGGCGGAACGTTGGACATGGCTCAGTTGGACATGGCTGTGGTTACACGAGGTAAAAACTATATAAAAACTGTTCGTTTTCTCACACAAACCGCTCGTTTCTTGTCTTAGGCCATCAATGTGTACTTACATTTACGAGTCATTAAATCATGTTTAATTTTGACTTCTCTGTGCATGCTCTTTGAGGTGGACCCCCTAAAACTCCATTATATGACTGAAAGACAACAACGGTTTGACCGAAAAATGTCAAAGACAAAGACACCTACATCTTGGATGCCCTTGAGGTAAGCTAAAATATATCAAAGAGTAATTTCAAAGTGAACTATCCCTTCAATCTTTGTACTGTAAATGTTAATTATTGAAAATACTCTTCATTGTTATTTCATGCTAGCTCAGGTACATTAAAAAATATTTACAAATACAACTTTTAATTTTAATAATGTATAGACCTTTTTCACATCAGCGCCATCTCTTCAGTGGGTTGTACTGTTATTTAATGTGTTTTTTGGATTGCAAAAATATCTTGTCAAGAAGTTTGAGTAGACAAAAAAACTCAAACAACATAAGCTGTGGAAAATTATAAGTAGTATGGGAGTTTTATACAGAGGTTGCCATTAAAAATACAGTAAGTCTATCCCTCAAAGCCGCGCTTTTATACCCTTCATGGCGTTGCTCTGAATAAGGTCTATTAGTAAATGATGAAATCAACTATATGAGATCAATAAAAAGTTAGTTCACATTAACTAACGTAGTTAACTAACTTAACCTTATTTCAAAATGTTACCAGAAATATTTAATAGATTTAATGGTATTTTTTAAATTAGCATCAACATTTTTTATTTTATTATCTAATATGATAATAAATTAATATTTATAAGGTAAAAAGTAAAAATAAAAAGTATAAATACATTTTACATGCAAACAATATTTTCTTTTATTTATTAGTGTTTACTTTTTTAATTGACACCGAGTAGGCTTTATCAATTTCACCGTTTGCTTAAATGATGCATTGACATGTAACTTGCAGTAAAAAGTCATTGTAATACAATAGGCTTTTCTGCGAAGGCTTTGTCAGGCTGATTCAAACCAGAAACCTTTTAATCCTTTTGAATGAGTCAATAAAAGAATCAACTGCTATTACACGCACATTATTTTTGAAACTGAGAGCATTTTTTTTTTCATATTTCCGACATGGCATGAACATAGAGTCACCTCACACATCTCAGTGTGCAACCCGCTTATTTCCCCTCAAGACACGCAGTTTGAATAAACGCTGCTCTGTTTCATCAAGCGGACGTTAACACTGCTTAAATACTCACCCTTAGCAAAAACACCCATTAATGGTGTTGATCACAGGAAGAACAAACACATTTTCTTCAATGAGGCTGTCAGAAGGCAATACAGAGGAGTGATTTTGGACTGTCTAGAAATGCAGCCAGAAGCAAAAGCCCCAAGCTCCTTTGAGTAATTCAATTAAACTTCAATACTTCTTGGCAGCTGATTTAAACCCTGCGTAAGATTTACATGCTGCAGGAACAGGGACGATTCAAATAATAGAGGATTATCTGGAAACCCAATTAGACAGGCCCAATTCAGCAAATTAACGGGGCCGAGCCTGCGCGCGTTGCATTCGGACTACGGTTTGTCTAATTTGTCACGGCGAGAAAGCTTCAGCACGAAACAGAGGCGCCGTTTGGCCGACATATGCACCGCAGCTCATTTGCCACACTTTGACCACAACAAATGCCACAAACAGCCATCTAAACAGCTTGTAAGAGACGGTGAAATCAGGATGAGCTAATTAAAATGGCAGTCTGGAGGAAATGGTGCCTGTGAGCCCTGGGGCCTGGCAGGAGGAACTAAGGGTTCTGTATGTAAGGATGCGACGCCAACAAGTCAGCCACAACCCCTCCAACAGGTGTCCGACGTGAAGTTGAATACGGATCAGCAGGTGGCATTCATCCGCATGTATGAACACAAGGACATTTGAGCACACTCACACGTGACTGCGAGGGCACCTGTTCACACTTGGAATGAAACTTGTGTCTTTAGGCAATGAGTTAATTAGACACACAATTGGCATTTGTGAAATTCCCAGCTCCCTCTAGTGTTGTTTTCGCTGAAAGTCAAAGAAAATTTGCAGGGAGCATGCCAGCGTGCTTCAAAGGAGCCCACGTGGAGTTCTCTGTTAAGGGACTAAGGGCTTAGAACACACAGATAGGTCTAAAACTGGAACAGACTTCAAGGTCCTGAGATCCCTCAATTATCGATCTGAGAGAGAAACAAGCAAATTGATTTTGCATCGTGGCAACTGTGGTTTGAAAAAGGAAGCCTGGTCCCTCATGTCTGTCTCTCAGGGATCTGCCGTAACGATTCAACGCAACACTTCTTGTCTTGACATTGTTAAATACATCCTGGAACACAAATGACTTCAGATCATATTGAGGAATTTCCACTTCCACTTTCCACTTATTTTTTAGATCTGGAAGAGGATATGATACCGAGACTGTTTTAATCACTAGGTCAGGGGCCGATGTCTCGCATAAGACATTTATTATCAAAGGAATGGTACCTTTTGTAGATTATTTCAGCCAGAAACCACACAAGAGTAGGGAAGAGACCATCTAATGACAATTAGATCAAATTAACACAAAATTTAATTAAAATATATCAAAATAAATTAATAATACGATAAAATAAATTATATTAATTGTATATACAATACCATTCAAAAATTGGGGTTGGTAAGATTTTTTGCTCAACAAGGCTGCATTTATTTTGTGAAATATTATTACAAACTAAAATAACCACTTTATATTTAAAAATATAAAAAAAATTACTAATATTTTCTGAAATAATTTGATTATGCTGCATTGATAATTGTGCTGCTTATTAGTTTTTGTGGAAACTGTGATGCATATTTTTTGGGGATTCTTTGATAGAAAGTTCAAGAGAACACTAATTTGAAATTAAATTTTTTTTCTCCAATATAAACGTTTTATTCTTTCCCTCCATATAAACAATATTTTTGCACAATATTTTTTCTAATATAAACATTTTTTTTATATACAAAATTTTTATACAATATATTTTCCAATATAAACGGTAGTAAGGTGTGGAGTGTGGGGAATTATGTGTATTAATATGTGTTAACCAGTATGTTTGATGGTTCTTTGTGTGGTGTATGAGGTATGATGTAATGCCTATTTGGATAATCCTGCAAACAAATCTCCCTACAGGGACAAATAAAGAGATTGACTGATTGAGTTTATGGTCACTTTTGACAATTTAATGCACTTTTGCTGAATAAAAGTATTTCTTTAAAATAAAAATCTTACTAACCCACAAATTTTGAATGGTAGTGCATCAGTAATAAATATGAATAATACATATTTTAAAATATGTAATTAAATAATAAATTGTTTTAAACTATTAGACAGTTCAAGGGAGGTTGCAAATTAAAAAAAAATACTAAATTAAATGTACCAATTACATGTGAAACTCGTAAAATTAGAATATCATGCAATTTATTTCAGTAATTCAACTTAAAGGGTGAAACTAATATATTATATAGACTCATTACATGCAAAGTGAGATATTTCAAGCCTTAATTTGTTATAATTTTGATGATTATGGCTTACAGCTATGAAAACCTTTTCACAATATTCTAATTTTGAATTTGGAGTTTCACAAGCTGCAAGCCATAATCATCAAAATTATAACAAATAAAGGCTTGAAATATCTCAATTTACATGTAATGAGTCTATAATATATTAGTCTCACCTTTTAAGTTGAATGACTAAAATAAATAAACTTTTGCACAATATACTACTTTTTCGAGTTTCCCCTGTATTTCACAAAAAACTTGGCAGAATCTACTTGTCAGCATTTAAATTAGGTAACAGCCACAAACAAATCCCTTGAATATCTTCTGATGTCACAAACCTGACAACCTTTGACAAACTGTGGGTTAGTGCATGGGCATCTGAGGTTACGGCCCATGAGGCGACTTTCTAGAGCAACAGTCCAGTACATATCCCTAGACTGATTTCCCAGTCTAGCGTGAAGAATAGGTTTCTGGTAAGCTTGACAAAAGATTTCTTTCTAAGAAAATAAATTCCTCTGGGGACAGGTCGCTGTGATTCAGAGGCATCCAGACAAGGCTCTTTGTGAGGACAATAGTACAGAAAGTGGAAAATAACAGTGAACCCTTCAACAAAATGGCAAGCCGCAGTCCTAACTCAAGAACTTTGAAAGAAATCAAACAAAACCAGAAGGGCACAAGACTTCTTTTATGGCGACAGCTATAAAGCGGCTCACCTACAAATCAGTGTTACCAAAGACGCCTCACAAGGAGCCCTAAACAGCAAAAGAAAAAGAACGCTACACAGTATCTGAAGAAAGAAAACAGCCCCCAAGAGCAAACAAAAACGAACTCAAACTCCTTTTACTTACAGAAAAACATCCAGTTAATGGTCTTGACTCCTGTCCTGTCAGGAGCTCTGAGGTAAACTCAAAACAGTCTCACCAAGAAAAGCCTTCTCTGTTTGTGTGCAATACTGAAAGAGGAAGTGGATGTTGAAGAAGTTGTATTGCCAAGACAGCTGACCACCAAGGGCCAACAGCAGCGTGAGGAGTTGCATCGAGCACACCTCCTCCCAATCCCATGACATATATTTTACTGAGACAGGGGGCCCAGTCGTCTTAGGAGAGAGAGACAAGAGTCACAGCCAACTGTAGGACCAGCCCTCACATACTGAGCCAATCCCACTGAGGGGAGCATGAGTGTGAAAATGAGAGAGCAAGAAAGGGGCACAAAAGATCAGAGATTGAAAGGAAGACCGAACAAAATAAAAGACACTGGGGCAGAATAGAAGGGCTTAAATTCAAAAAGAGCCCGTGCGAGTGGCAAAGCAAAAATGAATGGACAGAGAGGGGGCAGGCGAGAGTGGAGGGCACGCAGTGGCGGGAGAATCGATAGGCCTGTGATGGAGGGCAGTGGGGCAGGTGGCTTGTTCCCCGGAGATGTGCTGATTGAATGTTATCTGTCAGAGGAAGCCACAGCCAGAGGGATTTTCTCAAGACAGCAATGACTTTCTGATGGACTCAGAGAAAAACTTCACGACAAATCAACTCTGAAAGGGACCGATGCTCAAAAACACAAAACATTTCCATTTCGGTAGGACAAAAGGTGGCTTGCAATGTCTTAAATGCTCCAGGGGTATGCATGTTGTGATTATTTAAAGTATGATTTAGATATGGAGGACTCACCTTCCTCTTCTTGAAGGCCTGTCGGGCCAGGTAGCCTCTGCACGCAGCCTGAAACAGGGTAATGTTGCGTCTGGTCTGGATATCTCTGTGCTCCTCAAGCTTAGGCAAAACACCTGCTCTGAAGAACACCTGCAAACAGACCACTGCTATGAGATAAATGGAAATACAACAAACTTTCTCACAATGAACATTTCACTGAATACATAACATTTGGTTAATGGCACACCATTAATAATAATAATTATAATAAAGTATATTCAAAATTGAATAAAATGATTATTTGTATGTATTTGACATGTATGTATCTTCTCTGCACATTTTTTTAAATATTTTTACGTATACAGTATATATATATATATATATATATATATATATATATATATATATATATATAAGTATTTAAATATACATATGTACATTAGTTGTCTAGACAAATATATACATATTAATGTAAAATTCATAGTCATAGATTTTCCCATCTGCAGTCACCCGGTCGAAAGTGTGAGGAGTTCCTTTAAACTGCTGCCCAATGCTCTGTTTACTGCTAATTTTCCGCTCTGCGGTGGGGGTGTCAAACCGAGCTGGATTAACACTTCAGAATCCTATTCCATTAGGCCATTTAATCAGAGAAATTTGAGGGAAGTAGACCTTTCCAGACGTGCATTCATCAAACTCTGTGGACATGGTCTAATTGCATTAGCATTCTATTAGTTTTAAAGATGGATTAATCTAGATGAACAAAATCCTAATTAAAAAGGCACCGGATTCATGGTGTACCTGAGCCTGTGCTGGAAAGAAGTGCTGCTTTGGGAAATTGGTTTGATATATATATAGTGGCGTACAGTCGTGTTCTGAAATGAGGAGTTTTTTTAAATGTAATTTAAATGTGATATTTCAATTGGTCATTGACACAAAAAATGTTTTAAAAAAAACTTTTTAAAACTGATGTAATGCATATTTTTGAGTCATGAACAATGTGTTTTAACATGTTTCAGTTGTTAAATAACATTCCAATGTTTTAATACATGATTTTATGAACAGATGAAACAAAAAAAAAAACACTTAATATGGGTTTGGTTCATACAGGGATAAAAAGTACCCCATGTTTAAGATGAAATACTCTGCTGTATCGCTAATGCTGTGGGCCTAATTTTCTGCCAGAGGTCTTCCGTCAGACATCTTGTTGTACCATAGATTCGATCAAATACCAACAGATAAAAAAAATCAAAACCTGACAGCCTGTGTTAGAAATCTTATAATGGGCCATGTTTAGATCTTCCAACAGGACTGTGATCCAAACACAATCATCAAAATCAAAACAAAAATGGGTCACTGAGCCCAAAATCAAGCATCTGGAATGGCCATCCCAGTCCCTGACCTGAACCCTCTAGAAAATGAGTGGGCTGAACTGAAGAGAAGAAGCACCAACATGGATCTGGAGAGATTCTATCTGGAGGAATGGTCTCTGATCTCTTGTCAGGTGTTCTCCAAACTCATCAGGCATTATAGGAGAAGATTCAGAGCTGTTATCTTGGAAAAAGGAGGTTGCAAAAAGTATTCAATAAAAGGGGACAAATAATTGTTCCCAATGTATTTTGGAGAAAAACATTTATTTCATAATTTTTATTTTTTATTTTTTTAAATAAAATATTTTGATCATATGCACCAAAGGGGCAAATAATTCTGACCAGCACTGTGTATATATATATATATATATATATATATATATATATATAGTATTACTATCTCTAGAGAGAGAGAGAGAAAGAGAGAGAAAAGGATGATAGTCCAGTGCTGCAATTACTACTGATCTGAGGGAATGGCAGCAAATGCCTCTTGATTGAGCCTTTATCTGGAGCTGCTCTGTGGTATAATCTTCCTTTTCACATCAAAGGCAGCCAGAGCCTTTCAGTGATGTAGAGCCTCAGTTATTGTTATTATGGGAGGCAATCTCTCAGAGCTCCAAGCATCAGATCATAGGGGAGAATGGAGTGTTATGAAATGATTTCATATTCATGTAAAGTTTGACAGCTTTCAGACCCCATGGCATTCTCTGCCAACCCAACGGTACCACAAATAAAAATAAAGGACAATATGTTTACCCGAAACGCTTCCAACAACCCTTTACAACCTCGCAAATTAGAACATCAGGGCTGAGCTACCAGCCAACACACACACTTATCTGCTTTCAGGCAGGTGTAATATCAGAGTGGGACCTCTCCACCTCTGGAGAGCAGCAAAGGAAAATTGAGTTTCATTTCTCAATGTCAGTGAAGATGTGCTGGAAAAAAGGCCTGATATCAACCGAACGAGAACTTCATTCAGGGTCCTCTCGAGTCAAATGTGAGATTAGGTGGAGATGCCAAAAGACTCACAAGTACATTATCCACAGAATCAAAGAGCATGTGTGAAACGCTAATTTAATAAATTACATCATCCTAAGAGACTCCGTTGGATGTGTTCATTTGAAGAACTTGAAGATATTGTGTTAGTGAAATGTCTGTTGCGTGCAGCTTCTTATTAGCCACGTTGCCCCTTGACATTCACCCAGCAGGCCTGTGATTCGCCAGTCTTTTCCACACAAGAGCACCAAAGGTCAGCATGACGGAAAGGTCTTTTCAAGGGGGTCAAATAGCAGTGCTTTCCATTGAGACCAAGAAACTAAAATTCCTCATGAAGACACAGGGAAACAAATGGCAATGGAGGAGTGCAAAGAGAGGACCTTGTGTCTAAGTCTGTGGGGAGTCTGTGACTAGGGTGGCAACTGGACAATGACTGTGTTCAATAAGCAGCGATGGGAGTTCATGATTGGTTAGGATCTTGTTCATATCTACACTGGCTTCAAAAGTATTTAGACACACAGGACACACTTAAAAATGTCAGTGCATTAAATACAAAACATCTGGAAAAAAATAAAAGCAGAGCTTTTCTCCAAACTATATTTAGTATTCTTTTGCTTGTTTTTCTTTACTTCATTATTTTTATGTAGGTTTAATAATAATGAAAATAATTAAATAAAATAATTAAATAAAAATAATTATATATATTTATATAAAATAATAATAAATAACACACACATATTATATATATATATATATATATATATATATATATATATATATATATATATATATAAACATTACAAATACAAATAAATAAATTAGGGCTGGGCAACGATTAATCGCGATTAACCGTATCCAAAATAAAAGTTTGTGTTTACATAATATATGCGTGTGTATTGTGTATAATTATTTTGTATATATAAATGCACACACATGCATGTATATATTTAAGAAATATTTGCATGTATATACTGTATATATATGTATACATAATTTATATTAAATATAAATATAGATTTTTATACATTAATAACACATTTTTCTCTATACATGCATGTGTGTGAATTTTTATATACAAATAACTCAGTACACACATATATTATGTAAACACAAACTTTTATTTTGGATGCGATTAATCGTTGCCCAGCCCTAAAATACATATATTTTTATACATGTACAAAATAATTAATTTGAAAAACAGAATTAAATAAAAAAAGGTGCAACTGTATATCAGAATCACCATCAGTGGTGTAAATCTCTATACTCAAGTAGAATTCAAAATTATGGCTGTCAAGCAATCGGTTGTGTATTTCCTGGACACGTTTTTCTCTATTCCAAGTTATGTAATCAGCTATTTATCAGAATGTGATTATTTTGGCTCTCTCTCTAGGCTGCTGTTCTTTGTCTGAAAGCACAATATCTCGCTGTGCTGATTGGTGTTTGTAGTGAGTTATCGGCGAGCACCAAGCCAAAGTAAACCAAACAAAGCGAGCTGGTGCCTCGCCAGAATCAATCTTTCGTCTACAGAAGATGCACAAAAGGATTTCTGCTTTAATCATTCGAAGTGTAGGGGAGACCCAGAGTGCAACCTTCCAGGAGAGCTCATTCAATCTCAGAAAACCTCACAATAATTGTCTTCCATGCTCCAACATGTTCGCCAATGAGGCCTGGCAACGGCGCCAGCCATGTCCCATCTGCAGCTAAGCATTGTGGGTACAGCATCGGCACAGAGCAGAGAGTGCTTTTTTTGACAAGAGAGGAGGAGATGAGTCTTTTTGGCCAAAGCACACTCTGCCAAACTTTCCGTCCAGATGTGAGCACAGTGGCAGAGAGGATTAAAGTCGGTCTGTGTCTAAGAGGTGTAGAAGAAGCAAACGTTTGGGCAATCTAAATGGAAATCACGCCATCTGTTTGGAACTGATCCTCGTGACTCAGGCCGAATCTGTATGCCACAAACTGACTCAAAGCACTGATCCATAACATAGAGGGACTGAAAAAGTGAAGTCATTTTATTTAGATGATTATGATTGATAAAAACAACAGTGTTAAACTGTTTCTAACCCTGATATTGTAAAAGTAATTCATTCACTAATTTAGATTAATAGCAGTTCAGCATGAACTCGCTGATTGTCCAGGACTCCCATGAATGGTCCAATTTTAATCAATGAATTAAATTCACAATAAATTTTGCTGTATTGGCTACAGTGGGTACATTCTAGTTTTGTTGACTGGCTTGTAGGACATGTTTGGGTGCTAAAATGCAAAAGAGAAGCCCAAAATCTAGCAAACGTAAAAATAATTAAAAATGTGCTTTTTGATTCAGTTCTGAAGACTCATTATTTAAGGTCATGTTTCCTCAGTGCTCATTTTTCAGTTGTACCATGAAAAAATGTGAGAACATGCACCGATAGATCAGGCTTAAATGCACTTAAATTGGCTCATGTCATGTCTGTGATTAGTTACAATGCTCAACCGAAATCGCCTTTTTTATTAATTATTTTTTTATATATTTTTTTGACTATTTGTGAAGCGGTTATTTGCCTTTCGATCTGGGGCGTTTCTTCTGAGGATGCAAGAGAGTCAGTACCTCTTCAAAAAGCTGAATGAAAAAATCCATAGTACAAAAATAAAACAACACATATATTATGAAATATGCCATTAAAAGAAATTTATTCTGTAATTCACTCACCCTCAAGCCATCCTAAGGTGAATATGTCTTTCTTCTTTCAGCCAAACACAATCAGAGTTATATAAAAAAAAACATCCTGGCTCTTCCAAGCTTTATAATGAGAGTGAATGGTACCCTTTTTTTTAAGCCCAAAAAAGCGTATCCATGATCCATCCATCATAAAAGTAATCCATACAGCTCGAGGGGGTTAACCCTCTGAGGACCAAGGTGTTTTTGGGGTCCTTGAGATGTTCTGACATGTCCTGACATTTGTACTTTTTTCAGTTGCTTATAAACATATTAATGGCACAGGTGAACTTACACTCTATTTAGCAGAAATGGGGCTACCATAATATATGAGCAACATGTATGTACATGTTTGTATTTTTTAGAGAATATTGTTTATGCGTGGTTATTTTAAAACTCAAAAATGAAAGTTTCTGAAATAAGGCCACAAAACACATACTAAATATGCTTCCACAAGACTTCTGGAACATGAATGAAAAAAAAATTTAAATTGTAATTGTATTTCAGAACACCACTGTACACTACTGCATTTGACGGCAGAAACGTAAATTATATAAAAAACTTTGTTGGCCAGAGTGAATGGAATAGATTGAGTAAAGCAGGAAATGGCCCTTTTCTGGGTCTAATATCGCTAACTACATTATTGTTTTTAAAGTTAGTTTAGAGGGTGAATGTAAGTATTACTTACTCTGCTCAAGCCCATGTGATAGCTGCTTTTTTCCAGCTCAAGAAACTCCAGTAGCTCTTCGACAGCCTGAAACACACAAAGACACATGTATAAACCAGTGAGACAGGCGTAAAGATCTAGTGTGCCATCCACTTCAGGGCACCAAGAGGACAGTATGCTGACTGGGGCGCTCTTTCTGTCGAAAAGCTAACCCAGCTTGGGAAAACTGGGTCACAAACAACTGTCTTAATGTCTGACCTCTCTCTTCTACTCACCCATGAGTGCTTTCTTCCTGACAGGATGTCAGGCAAACAACAACATGGCAGGGGATTAAAAAAAAAACTCGGTGGACTGATGACTAATGGCTAGAGTTTGAGCTAAGACCACAGGGATGTATTGAGTGCTCTCTGCAGGGGCGCAGGGGCCGACTGGTGAACAGGTTCAGGGAGAGACGAGCAAAAGGCAAAGCCTCAGACTGAGCAGCTGCGGATGGATCACAGGTCTAAAGGGGAATCTGCTAACGTATGGTTACCACAGCGAGACCTCGGTAAAACACAGCTAAAGCAAAATCCAAACAAAGATTGTTCTTCCGAGATGCATTTATTTGAGCCAGTAACATGTTTGTATACTAAAAAGTATAAACTACTATCTGAGGAATAGACAGATATATAATATACATAGAGTATCAGTCAAAAGTTTGGACATGTTTATTCATTATTTGTTACCGTTTTTATTCACTATAAAAATTGTATATAGATTAAACCTTGTTTAAGCTACAAAAGTTATTCCGTCAAGAGCAATTAATGATTTTTTGCTGTTAGTCTGTTTGATTAACAATAAAAACACAGACAGCAGCAAGAATATTAGGCCTATTGTCACTTAAAAACATAATTGGGCATAAAGCATGCACACAATTTCTTACAGCGTGCAAGTACTGAATTGAGGTCTCTTTCATGTCTTTGTGTACTTAAATATTTAAATTGGCAAGGCTTAAAAACACCTGTAAATGATAACTTTCATGATGCAGCACTGGCCCAATCGGGACAGAGACAGTTCTGTCAACTCTTGGCCATTGGGCAGTCCCACGTTGAGTGCGAGTGTGTGAGAGAAAGCGACACAGGGTGCTCTCAGCAACAGTGTGTAAAGCTCAGCAGGCAATGAAATTATACCTGCACTAAATTTATTTTTTGCCTCTAACCCAATCACATGCGAGGGAAATCGTACAATTTACTAGCCATTGGCTAATAAATTAAAGACTTTTTTTAGTCAACTAGCGTGAAACATGGTCGCATACCCGAGTGATTTACTCACATTGTTGAGAGTTGCCTACAATTTTACACACGCACACACAGTACTGTGCAAAAGTCTTAGGCAAAAATGGTTTTAAGCCAGTTATTTGTATCTTTTGCTGTAGTGTCAGTAGGAAATATCAGTTTACATATAGACCATTTCGCAAGATGTAAACAACACTGGTCCAGAAGCACTTCCTGTTTCAGTTTTTTAACACTATATAAACATTGGGATAAAGTACAACCAACAGAACATATACAACTGAATCAAAAAGTTAAACATCTTTAAGATATTTTCTTTACATTTGAAATTATGAAACCATTTACAAACTGAAACAGGAAGTGCTTCTGGACCAGTGTCGTTTACATCTCGCGAAATGGTCTATATATATAAACACACAGACACATATATCCACGTGAAGTTGACATTAAGACATTACAGGTCTCTGAAGACTCAATAGGACAGGATGCCACTGATAAAGTCATCACTCTGGGAACTGATTAAAGCCTTTATTGTCCTGTCACCAGAGCAGAGGCGAGATTAAGGGGGGAAAGATGTGTACTATAGCCCATTAATCAACAACACAGCTCTCTGCCCTGAGCACTGTCATAATCAATTACATGGAAGAGCAGCTCATGAAGGAGGAGCCAAACAGCACTCGGAGAAACACACACTCACAAACACACGCATAAAAGGACACTCACCCTTCTCTCATCAGTTACAATGTAGTTCCGCCCATGTTTCTTTGTCAGGTGGGGAGTCAGTACATCAAAACGGCGACGGAACTCAGAAAATACCAAATGATCGGGATAACCTTGAGGAAGGAGGAGAGCCAAATGACAGGAGTGTTACAAAAGAAGGACGTGTGAGATTCTAGAAAGCAAGGATTGTGTAGGTTCAGCAGTGAGCAATGATGAGGACAATGGTCAGTCACTTATCTAGAGAATGTTCTGCTTACTCAGGGCTTTGGGATGAAATGTGCCAAAACATTTTCCAATGACATTTTGTTGATTTTTCTAAAGCACTGAACAAAATAAGCCCATGAGCGTCTCTGAAAATAAATAAAAACTTACATCTAGAACACTAGGCAGTGCCTGACCACATAAGCCCTAGAAAACTTCAAAGGTCAACAA